GCAGTACACCATCCCCACCATAATTGGTGAATGTCACAAATTCTCCTAAATCACTCGTACGCACAACTTAAGAACAAATCTGTGCGTACCAACGGTTCTTGCATGAGGCCCATTGAGTTTTATCAGGAGACTAGTTTCTCTCAATCCGCTGGAGGGAGCTGATGGACTGTAGACAGGCACGGGAACTGATAAATGGCCCAAATCTTAGGTTTGGGAAAGCTCTCCTTGACCTGAGAAGAAAAAGTCTAAGTTCGCTGTTTTGAATCTTAACTGGGCACAATCTTCTTAACCGCCATAAAATGGTGATGGGACTCCATGACAATTAGGGATGTCCCGATCAGATTCTCAGTATCGGCATCGCTGGCAGATATGGCCATTTTTTTGAAAATCGGGTAGAATCGGATTTAGTCGTGATCGGGCCGATCCAGTTTTTGCGACAGTTTTCAGCATCATCAAGCTTTACAACTGCTGTTAAGAAGTCAAGACGCACTCAAGTATGCAACTATGTCCACAGTGTGGGAGCACTTTTCAATGGAAAACAATGATGCTGAAACTGCATCTTGCAAAATCTGCAAACTGGATGTTTCTTGTGGTGAGAACAGCAGGGCTCGCTTTAAAACCTTGTCATTTGGAAAGAAATAAAGAAATAAAGCTATCGGATCATAGGGTTGGGCAAAATTGGCAAAAAAATTAATCACGATTAATTTTGGTATTTAGCCGATAACGATTAATTTGACGATTAATCCCCCAGAGTCCCTGGACACCCCTTATATCCTAGTCACATGACCAATTTATAGGGAGAAAATTGGCTCTTTGTAAAAATCTGTTCCAAATTGTGTCAAAATTACAGACTTCAGGCTATACATCAAACTTTAAATTGTGTTGATAGATAAATAAATTACACAATTTTTTTTATTTTTGGTCATATTTGAATCAGAGAGGAACACCAAGCGGTTAGTCTGCCAGGTGGCATTAATCGTATTAATTGTCAACTGCCAAAAATTAATCGATTAATGTTTTTCTGACGATTAATTGCACACGATATGATTATGCCCAACCCTATCGGATCAGYATCGGAAAGACTAATCATTAAAAAAATTGTATTGTATTGGGAGCCAAAAAATCTGGATCGGGACATCCCTAATGACAATACTCTGTGTGATGTCTGTGGCATTGAATTAGAGACCTCTGTGCACTACTTAGACCACTGCCTGGCTCTGAGCAGTCAAAGAAAAATAATTCTTGGGGAACCTTTTATGGATCCTGAGAAACTCAGAAGAGAGTTTTTAACCTTGTGTCCTTAATTCAAGGGACATGAAGGTTTGATTAAAGCTCAGTGTCCTTTTGGAGGGAGAATAATAATGGGCCCACTTTTGAGGCCCCCACTCACATGGGGTTTTACCCATCCCTATTCACCACACCATACCATAGTTCCTCTTGTGATGGTACGAGCATATTTCAAGGTGACTAATACGAGCATTTTTAGCTGAGGCATGAACAATGCATGAKATTTCCCCTGACTCTAAACATAAAAGCCCCTTTGATGTAAGTTTTTCTTTGTATTTTTTAGGTCTTCCTGCTTCTCCTTATAATCTTGAGTGCTTTAGACCATGTGACCAGAAAGACTGTTCAGCCATAAAGTGTGTTTGGAGTCCAGATCCACCTCCTGACAGCTCCACTATCTACACCCTTCACTGGGAGCCACAGGACACTGAGTAAATCCATGTTTCAATCATCTGACAGATTTAGATTTGGTTTTACTCGTCGAACTTTGCCTTGACCAGCTGTATCTCCAATTACTTTTATTTTTTTTTTTTTTGCAGGGATGGGCAAATGTTCGGTGGTAATAGTTCTGATGGGATTATCACTCGTGAAAACTTTCGGAGCCACGAACAACTTTTTGTTTGGGTCCAGGCTCGAAACCAGCATGGTTCAGTTGAATCTGAGAAGGTTCTTATCCATACAGAAGATATCAGTGAGCACTTTTTTCCCCATTAACTCAAACAARAATCATTCTCAAGGACAAGATTTAATTGAAGTTTCTGACAASAAATGTATGATTTCATTAAATAAAATCTTGGTTTCCATTAGTATCAGTTTTTATCTCTGTCTTTCTGCCTCTCTCTGTAGAGAAACCACCTCCTCCAACAATCTTATCAGACCCTCAGGACACATTAGAGATTYGCTGGAATTCCACCTGTGAGGTGCAGCTGGATATTGGAACCTGTGAAGTCCGATATCGAACAGAGGAGGACCAAGACTGGCCTTGGGTCAGTTTTGGTTCAGAGTTTTCATTTTCGTCTTTTCTTTCTTTTTTTTAATTTAATTTTTCTCAGTACAGCTCGATACCCCAGAAAAAAACAAACAAACAAAAGCAACAGAATAAAGGCGTGTTTTTCTAATTTACAACTTCTCAGTTGTTTACCARACCATCTTAACCGCCTCTTGTTCTTTGGCACAGCTTGAAAATGACTTGCATGGCAGCTATGGAGTGGAAAACCCTCAGGCAGGCACCGTTTATGAGTTTCAAGTCCGTTGCAGCTGTGACTCGAGCCTGACGAGTGACTGGAGTGAAATCYATAGAACAAGAAGTGCAGAGTCAAGTGAGTTTTCATTTGCTGGGACTGAACAAGAACTTAGGAAAGGAGTTAAATTATTGTTTTGTCTGCAGTATGTTTTCAGTGGTTTTCTTATAGAACTGCATAATTTTTGTTTTTTTTATTGCAATATCAGTATCACAAAAACTAGTAAATCAGACATAACATGACAACAATAAACATTAAATGGARTGTTTTTCTGCCTTGTTAGTTTATGCTAATCTTAAAAACAACTAACTCACAATCAGAGGAAAAGTGTTCACATAGAAACCCCTTATTTTATAATTTCTGTTTCAAGGTAATGTAATGACAGAAATTACGCAAAGGCAGTAGACAATTGTGGTTTATGTACATAACAGTTTGAGGTGCTTTAAATTCTGACTTGTTTTTGTTTTTGTCATTATATYTCCCTTTACTTTTGTTTTCAGATCCACTCGGGGAGGTGGATGTGTGGGTGGACTGTTACAAGTCCTCATCAGGTTTTGACTGTTTTCTGACCTGGAAGGTAAGCTGAAAGACGAATGYAAAGAGCCTGCCACAATAAAAACGGACTCCTCCCTCACTAACTTCTTGTTTTGTCCTCGTCTYGTCCAGAATCTGTCCATTTCTCAGGCACAAGGACACATTCTAGGATATAATGTTAATATATTTTACAAGAATCGCACATCGAAGCAAATCAATGTGACCACGGTTGGTTCAAGCAGCCTCTGGGTGTTCGATGGAGGGAAGTGGCGCCTCACCTCGTCTCTGAAAGATGTGTTGTTCGTCAGTGTTTCAGCGTACAATGCTATTGGTGCCACGGATGCTACTCGTCTGTTTACGCCAGCAGAACCAGGTAACAGTTTGCCAGAATTTTATGAAAGAACGACATGAAATCCTATTCACAATTAATTTTTATCCCAAACGTCCAATACTGACTCAAAGACGCATAYATTTTTGACATAATTATCACAAAAACATCAGTAAGTAGGTCTTGACTAAAGCCAAAATAGAGGCACAGCATTTCATAGTAGCTGGTCATAAGGAAAACTTTGTAAAATGTAACAATAAAAGGATAGAGGTAACTGAAATGATAACATTAAACACCTTTTTCTGTAATGAACAGTCAGAGTAATACTTGTGACGATCCAGTGTCGCTGCACCTCTAAACAAAACTCCACATTTTTCTAGAGTTATTTTTCCATCAAACATTTTGCTTTTTTCCTATAAAAATCTAAACCGAGCTCTTGGAGATGCCTCATTATATTTGAAAGGAAAAAAACTAAACACCAAAACCAAACAGCTCTAAGTTATATAAAAAGCTAATAAGTTATATTATCGGTAAGATGAAGTGTCAGCTGCAGGAAACCAATTCTTGGTTGTTGTTTTTTTGCTCACACTTGCATTACGCACTGCATCTGATTATTATCTGTAAAACTTTGAGAAATAACTGGATATATTTTTAAATAAAATCTGTTACATTCTTCCTCCGAGCAGCTAATTAGAAACCGTGTCAACCCACAGCTTTTGTAGGTGTTTCTCAGTAAATATGACTTAAGTAGTTCTATTGCTGCTGCTGGTATTTTAAATATTATAGGAAAATTTGATTTAATGGTGACATTCAGAAATTGATTGAGTCAATAAAAGCAACACACGTGACTCCTAATCCAAAAGAGTATGGATATTTTTATTTTCAACTTTTACACATTTTAATAAGTCATTCATTACAACCAAAATAAGCTTCTGTGAGAATTTAAAGGCCGTCAAAAAGACATCAAAAATCCTTTTATACATTCAAATCTTGGTTAAACTGGATTAGTTCTGTTTAAAAATAGCTGCTAACAAGGGTCATATTAACACACCACACCAGAGATGACAAGTTTCTTCAACTTTTTCTCTACAAACTGAAAAACTGCAGTCTTTAGTGCTAAAAAAAAACTATTTCAAAAATAGATCAAATATAAAAATAAACAATTTCAGACCTGCTCAGTGGATTGCAGATTGATTAAAACTGAAAAGCTATGATGTATAAATATTTAGGGTTGGGCAAAATCGTTTCATGTGCAGTTAATCATCAAAAAAAACAGTAATCGATTATTTTTTTGGCAGTTAATTAATTAATATGATTAATGCCACCAGGCAGACTGACTGATGCTCCTCCCCACTTCAAATATGACAAATTCTCTGTAATTTATTTATCACAACTCCGGTTTTTCTTGGTCTATCAACACAATTTAAAAATTGATGTATCTCCTGAARTCTGTATTTTTGACACAATTTGGAACAGATTTTACAGAAAGCAAATCTTTCCCACTAAGAGTGATTTAAACTGGTCATGTGACTAGAACATGCAGTGGTCTACGGACTCCAGGGGATTAATCATCATATTAATCATTATCAACTAAATACCACAATTAATCGTGATTATTTTTTTTTGCCAATATTGCCCAAACTGAACAAAATGCACTCAAATAAAAGAAATTATTTGTTTAATATATGCATACTTTTATTCTGAATTTAATTTTATTGTACTGTACTGTTCAAAGATTGTGTGACCTAATTTAGTTTGATCCATGTTAGTTTCTTTCCAGATGCTTTTATTAAATTTTAACAACCTGCAGTTTAATGCTATCTAATTAGGTTTGGTGCATCAGAATAAAGTTTAATGGGACCATTCTGGTTGTATTTCCTATTTTAAAGTTATGACACTTCAGTAGTTAATTTTCAGTTATTTATTTAGACATCGGTATTTCAGTCAGACTGATAACACGCTTGTCTCTTGCCAAATTAAAGATGGAAAAGATGAAAGGATGAAGCTGGAGATGAATGAGGAGAACCTCACTGTATCCTGGGAGCCCTTCTCTCTCCTCCCTGACGGGGTGACACATTTTGTGGTCCAATACAAAGAGGGTCCGCCCGGCAAAGACTTTGATTGGATCAAAGTGGACAAAAACCAGACAACAGTTTCCTTAAAAGGTTTGTGTTTGTATAAATGTGAAGTATAATTTAACAGTTCTTACTAAGTGGATTTAACTTTTCAAGGTGATGAGTTTTTGAAAATCTTCATTGGGTGTTTTAACGGTTTAAAGTAGGTGTTTTACTCTGGTTTATGTCTCCATCTGCAGGTGTTTTTAAAAATTACACAATGTACACAGTGTCATTGTTTACAGTATCAAACTTGAATAAAGTCCGTCAGCTTTCAACAGAGCCTGCATATTCCATTCAAGGAGGTCAGTATGCTAAATTATATCTATATATTTTGAAGTTGTGAGCTGATTTTTGTTCACTTGTGTCACTCTTTGTGTCCTTTTTCCTCTTGCTTTCATTTTCTCCAACAGTTCCCTCCTCTGTGCCTTCGTTTAAGGTGTCTTTTCTTGCTTCCACTGATGTGACTCTACACTGGGAGCCTGTTCCTAAAACCAAACAACATGGGGTGATCTTACACTACCAAATAGGAATTGAAGGCACAGAAAAAGGTACAACACAACAAAACACAACACAGCATTACAATATACACTCAGTGGCCACTTTGTTTGGTACACCTTGCTAGTACTGGGTTGGACCCCCTTTTGCCTTCAGAACCTTAATCCTTCGTGGCATAGCTTCAACAAGGTACTGGAAACATTCCTCACAGAGTCTGGTCCATATTGACATGATGGCATCACACAGTTGCTGCAGATTTGTCGGCTGCACATCCATGATGCGAATCTCCCGTTCCACCACATCCCAAAGATGCTCTATTGGATTGAGATCTGGTGACTGTGGCCAGACCCTTTTATACCCAAACTGCTTTCATAACACAAATTTTACATAACCAGGAAGGGTGGTCACTTCCAAGAATTGGGCTGGAAATTTA